GAATGAAATTGTACTGGAATCAATCTTTTTTAACAGACGATACAGTGAACCATAACAGACCTGATATCGTGTTGATCGATAGTAATATGAAGACAGCTGAGATAATAGATATAGCTGTGCTAAATGATGGGAACACCAACTCAGTCTGGGCCAAAAAAAATTGGAAATATCAAACTTTTGCAGCCGGGTTAAAAGATTTGTACAGACTGAAAAAAGTGACAGTAAGGGCTTTAGTAATCTCTAGCAATAAAATTGACGTGAAGTAATTATTAAAAGAAAATGTCAAGCTGTACAATTGATCAATAATAACTTCCATTGAACAAGAATAAGTAGAAATAACATTTAAAATATAACATTGGAATCTTTATTTGTTTCTCATGGAAGAACAATTTAAACATATCACAGGATTTTATGTTGTCAGTAGGCTGAACCAGGAACTGCATTTAAATTTATAGTAAAACGTCTTCGTTCAGTTCTATTCCTGAAATTTCGGTACAGAAATAATATATCTTCCCCACTCCAGGAAAATGCCTTTTTTTAAGTGTTAAAAAATAAATAATAATAATTATAAGGCTTATTGAATCCTAAGGCTCGATGTCGATATTACAGATCGATGCTACATACTTCCATCCACTGGGCACTAAACCCAACCCCGCTATATCAGCCTTCAAGCAATCTTCCACCTTCGCATCGGCCTACCCTTTGGACGCTTGCCAGTCGGTGAATGGATAAATAATAACTGATTCTAACTTTATAGGATATTTCGGACATAGACATCTTAACTAGATTTATTAATTATTTTTTGGGGTCCCCTGCTCAATTAGAATTTCATACAGATTCTGATGGTCAATGTAATCATAAGCGTTTTTTAAATCGATATAAAGCTGGTGAAGAATACAGTTATACTCTATTTTTTTATCTCCAATATTTGCCGTAAAGAAAATATTTTAACAATCGTCGAACGGTTCCGTATAAATCCCCATTGGTGTTCTCCGATGATTTCCTCGGCATAATCTGTGATTTGACTAGTTAATATTAGTGTAAATATTTCATCACATACTGGAAAGAGTGAAATTCCTCGATAGTTTTTACAATCTGTCCTTTGTCCCTTTGTTGTGAATCGGAATAAGAATAGACTCTTTCTATTCTTCAGACAATTTCTTTTTCTTCCAGATCTTTTTAACCAATAAATGTATTTTAGAAATTCCAACTTCCTTGCACGTCTTAATTAGTTCACTAGGAATATTATAGGTTCCCGTTGCATTGAAAGATTTTAATTTTCCGATAGCTGTTTCAATTTCCTCTTAACTTGATTTTTCTATTAACAGTTCGGCACTCTGGTACTCAGAAGGAGGACACAGATCATTATTTCCAGTATTTAAAATATTTTCAAAGTGTTTCTTGAACTGACTTAACATGTCCACCGGGTCTGTGAGGATATTGTTATTTTCATCCCTAATTTCAGTCGATTTATTTATACCTTTCTAAATGAAGTGTACGTCATTTTCGTTTCTATTAGTTTCTATATCTATTATTTTATTTTTAAGGTACTCCGTTTTTTACTTTCACTTACCTATATGTGGGATATATAGTAAGAGAAAGCATTGCGATCGTGAAAATTTTCGAATTTGAGTTTTCAACGAAAATAATCGTTTTGAGGTTCCCTGAGTCCAAATAACCAAGTCCCACAAAATGGTCTGTGTGTGTGTGTGTGTGTGAGTCTGTGTTTGTGAAGAGTCTAGCTCAAAACCGAAAAGTCTTATGAAACTGAAATTGCGTATTTAAGTTAAGTATATGCCTGGGATGTTACAGCTTTTTCCTAAAAATCGGCTAACTGGAAGTGGTATTTTATATGAACAATGTTACACAATTTTATAATTTTCTCAAAAACGGCTTTAACGATTTTGATTAAACTCGGTGTATCCAAGTATAATTAAGTGGTACTTAATATCATTTTGGTCTTATTCCCATTGATGTCACTTAACAGGGTTTAAGTTTCCAATGTTCAAAATGTCTTCCTCTAAAGTACATTTAATTTGGTTTATTATAAATAATTAACTATCTCTCATTGTTAAGAGTTATGATGAAAAAGGCTAAACATAATTTTTAAAAGACTTTGAAAATTGAATTTTTTAAATTGTATTAAGGAGAAAAAAAGAAAAATGCTTACCCAGGTCGAAAATAAATATGTCCTGATTCCTACCCATAACTTATCTATATCATTCCAGTCATCGTCAGAAGGTTCGAAAGCTTCAAACCTATTCTTAACTTCAAGCTCGAATTGAGTTTTGATTGATAAATTTTTCCAAATTCTGGGTATCGAAACGGTTTTCTTTTATTTTTTTTATATTAATTTTTAGTCGATGTTTCGTTATTGCAAATTCATGATCTAACAACATTCAGCCCCGCGATAAGACCTTAATTATACTATTCTTGCACTTATGTGGTATCAAGACAGGATCGATTTGATTTCGTGTTTGCGAATCCAGTGATATCCAAGTATATTTGTGAATATTCTTATTTTTAAACGTAGTACTTTTAATTATTAGGTTTTTAGAGATGGCAAAATTTATTAATCGAACTCTATTAACATCACTACATCCGTGTAAGCATTCTTTACTGATCCTTGGATAATAAAATTCTTCTTACCTTTGCGTTAGTGTCTCCTAAAATTATTTCGCGGTAGTTAAACATAAATCCACTCCAGTTTATCACGAGAATGGCACTTGGCTTCATCACTGTCTTCGGTCGGACAATGTATGTTTATCAACTCGATTTTAAGCCAACGCCCCTGGAATATGGCCTAGAATAACGAAAAATACTCCGAAATAAAACATCTGGAGAATTTATTTTTCTTTCTAAAACACTGATTACTTTTTAAAATATTTGAAGCAGTTACTTAGAAAATACATTTAATCGGCGGGAAAGCGACACTGGCATAGGCGTCTTGAGTCCTCTGCCACATCATTAAGTACTCATAAATGTTTAAGTTATAGTATGCTATAATGATTGTATTAATATTTGATTGTATTAACGAAAAAATATTAATACAATGATTTAACTGTCATTTTTTTTCTTCCAAAACTTTACCCACTTTGAAAGCTCGATAGTTCGCTTTCTGTTGGATTTAGAAAAAATTTAAGATAAATTTAAGTTGTTTATGATTGAATATAACCATTTTTTAACTATGTTGCTCTAAAAAGGAGATATATAGCGTAAACCAAAAAAAGGTCGAAATTTCAATGGTTTTTGGATCACTGCAGCGAACCTACAAAGCTTTCACTTGGATTTTTTTATAACTTTTGGATTTTGTCACTGAATACCTAATAATATAAAAAAGACATTTGAATTAATCGACCTTTTGCAAGCCAGATCGCTTTTTACTTTCGCTTAACTATATATGTAATAATCCGAGTTTTCAACGAAAATAATCGTTTTGAGGTTCCCTGAGTCCAAATAACCAAGTCTCACAAAATGGTCTGTATGGGTGTGTACGTGCGTGTGTGAGTGCGTGTGCGTGTGAACAGCCTAGCTCAAAAAAAGAAAAAGAAAAAGGCGTACGAAACTGAAAATGAAATTTCATTTGAGGTTTTTATAAGCCTTGGATGTCACTGGAACATTTTCGTCAAACCAGAAGAACACTAAAGTACCAACTTTATATAATCGATTTAACACATTCTCACGATTTTCAGTGTACCTATTATTAAGAAATTTTTAATGTAATGTAGGTTTTATTTTCATTGATGTTTTGTAACAGGGCTTAAATGGCTAATTTTCAATATTAGCTGCCTCTAATGTACCTTTATTTATTTTTATTTGAAATAACTAACCATTTCACATTAATCTTTGATATAAAAAATAGTTAATTATAAAATATGAAAGAATTTGATAATTAACTAAACGAGAAATAAGAGATCGTAACGAATAATAGCTGTAATGGAGAAGCCATAGGAAACGAGCCCGCCCGAGCTCAGCCGAGCTCGCCCGAAAGATTACAACAGGCTTCCTAACGTAACATGAGCTTAATATTACACGGACTCCAACAATATCATATACATATACATATGCGATTTTCATTAATGCTGTCGTAAGAATTATTTGATATCTAATTGTATTGAATACAGCAATATAAAAATTAAAAATTTTATATATAAGGGTATTTAAGCAAATAAAAATACCTGCAATGAAATGTAAATAAATATAGAGTCTACTTTCTATAAATATTTTTACTTTCACTTCCCCCTTTGTCTGAAAATACTTATTCCTACTAAGAAGAAGGTAGTAAGTGAAAGTCGTGTGATGCGAGCACCAGATTTGTTTGTTTGAGCACCAGAACTAATTTGACTGAGTTATTTAGGTTTCACGGGGTTTTTGTCTGTCCGGGGGAAAGGATGGAAGAATTATGCCGAGTTAATAAAAGTTCCACGGGTACTGGGATTTGAACTCTAAATACTTTTCCATCTAACTTCGGTTCCATCTAAATCAGATTGCAGGGCAATTCGCGTTTGCTCACTCGGCTATCCCGCCCTTTATATATAATTATACCTGCTGCGGTATGTTCCATGTTTTCTATCGTCCCCTTGTATAAAACTTCAAAAGCCACCCACCAAAAGTGACCCACTCAAGAATTGAAAAAACCGCCAAAACATGTCCTCCTCAAAAATTTTTATGGCGCGAGTTGAGCTATCAAACCTCCTTCAGGGCACCCCTGCCTGATTCTGCTCAGCACAAACCATTATATTTAAGCAAAAGATGCAGGCAAATTAATAATGTGACCATTACGTTAAAAATTGCTGTTCACGTAGGGGAAACCATATTAGTTTTTCACTAATGTGGTCAAACTTCCAAAGTTTAACTTTTGTTTTTTCTTCTTATGTCCAACAGGAACTCGCCTTTAGTATAAATCACTAACAAGCAATTAATAAAATTGGTCGATTTTAGTTACTTTTCACGAATTACTTTCAATCAGATTATACTTATCACATTCAATTAATTTAAATCATTCTTTTACTGATTATTCTCTCATTTTAACAGGAGGATCTGAAAACGTTTATGACTGATGCAGAATGGAATGTATACGTAGGCCCGGAAGAAAACGGTAAATTTTTACGACTATTTAGTTGTATTCTTAATTATTTCATTAATTCATTTAATTTATATGTAATTAATTTAATTTAAAAGTAATTAAAAACTGTATAAGTCAGTATTCTATCGACAGAAGGTGTCGAGCTTGTGTGGCACGAGGGAAGAACTAAAGGACAAGAGCTGGACCTTGACCTCCATGGCGAGCGCTTGTCGATCAACTTGACCCTGGCTTCAGAGCTACTCGACCCAAAATTGGTCATCCTCTCCAGAAGGCAGAACATCACTGAACTTTTGAGTCCGCAGCTCGCCGAACCTAGTTGCCATTTCTCCGCCCCTGGTCGAGCGGCCCTCTTCCTATGCCAGGGTATTGTAAGTAGTTCATTTTTTTCTGAATACTAAATAATAGGCAGCTACCTTCCACAGTGCTTCCTCAATATCAGATAAATCTTCTAAGGCTCTAAAAATTAGAAAGACGAAGTACATAGTTATATACGATGCAATTTCAAATGTGCTATTGGTAACGTTGGAAGGATACGAAGAATATAATTGAGGCTGAAATATCTTTTGGAAAGGATGGACGGTTGATTATTCTGATTTATAAAAACTACTTCATAAAGACAGTATTTAATTTAAATTTTAGCAGAAACCAATTTCAAGAACTAACCAATCATCACCGGAGCAGAAAAAAAGGATAAGATCCCATAAAGGCAGACACGAGAAAGCACATTTCATATCAGAAGACTAAAATGCACCAAAATGAGGTAGTACATCTCTCCAAAACCATTTAATACACACTATCAGTATATGTACATACAATACTACTGAAGAGGCTTAAGATTTCTTTTTTTATCTTCTGGTAATATCCTACTGTAGTTTTTATTTATTTTTACAGCAGACGTTTTGACCGAGCAATATGAAACTAACCAGGCTTGGAAGAAAAGTATTCTAATTATTATTTTAACTAATTTTGTATTTTTCAAAGAAAGTGTATTTTAATTACAAAGTATTTAAACTGTTTCCAGAAAAGGTATTTCAAATACAAAATACGAAAACTATTATGAATTTTAATTACAAAAAACAAAATACCTAATGGTGGGTATTAGCCTTTCCTGCAGCTCTCTCTTGGGTTCCACTGGTCCAAGCCATGCACCGAGTGGATCCCAAGAGAGAACAGCTGGAAAAGAAGCCGGCCGCATCTTAGCTGGAGGTACAAAATGACCCAGTATGGAGGCAATAACTGTTGGATTGTGGCATGGGGTGCAACCAGATGGAAATATGTTGTAAATAATATTTAGTTGTGTCGTTTTATTTTGTTTTAATATTCCGTGTATTTTTAAAGTTTTTTTTCTATACAGTTTTGTTTTATCTTCTTCTTCTCTTCTACCGCTGAGCTGTGTGAGGAGCCTTCTTGTAGAGCCGAATCCACAACTATCGATCCTCAGCCAACTGCCGCCTCCTCCTCCAGTCAATATCGCTTCTGTCAAATTCCTATTTGATACTGACCTCCCAGTTCTTCCTGGGCCTTCTCTGAGGTCTTCTTCTCACAACTTTATTTTCCAACGCCATCCTGGCCACTCGATTTGATTCTCTGGCATTCGAGAGACGCGGCCAAACCATCTCAAACGATTTTCCTCTATCACAGTTACGGCTGGCCTTATGTTTAGATTTTTCCTTATTGCGGAGTTCTTTATGCGACCCTTAACAGGAATCGCATCTCCAAGGCCTGAATCTGACTGATGTGTTTTGTGGTGAGGGTCCATGGCTGGAGTAGGTCATTATCGGGAGGAAAGTTTTTTTTGTACACGGTTGTTTTGGTCTCCTTGCTCACTTATCTCTTGTTCAAGAATCCTTTCATGGTGGGGTTGAAGCACCTTTCTGCAGACTTCACTTTTTCCTTTATTTCTCTGTCGATCCATCCATGTTCATTGATGTGGACACCGAGGTATTTACAATTTTTCACTTGTTCCAATGGAACTCCACCTAAGTGCACTATTCTGTCTCCTCTTCTTTGTTTTCTGCCAACCCTCATTGTTTTGATTGTTTTCACATTTATTTGCATTTTTATCTTATTTAATTCTTCATGAAGACTGGGGAGGTTTAGTCAATTGCTTCCGAAAACCACCAAATTCTCTGCATATGCGAACAGAGGGAAAAATAAAGGCTGTGGATTTCTGTATCCCATTTAATGTGATCTCATATTTTGTTTTGCTATTTTATTGAATTTTCTAGCACTAGTGTAAATAGCAGAGGACTTAGACTGCATACTTGCCTAATACCTTGATTAGTTGTGATCTTTTCTGATATATTATTACATGTTGTCACAACATTTCTTTGAGTCTTATAGTGACTTAGAATTGCTTTACGAAGGCCCGTTTCGATGCCTTTGGCTTCTAAGGCTTTTGCTATGTCTTGCTTCTTCACTCGGTCAAATGCCTTAGTGAGGTACACAAAACAAGTATATATCTCTTTGTCCCTTTCTATTAATTTGTCGAAAATTTGTGTTAAAGTAAATATGAGATCCTAGGTACTTTTTTTGGCCTAAATCCATATTGTTCTTCAGTCAGGTTGGATTCCACTGTTCTTTTAAGGTGTCTCTCTAAAATTTAAAATTAAAAGTTTGTTTTATCTTATACCTTAAATTGTTACTTTATGAAGGAAAATCTGATATGATCTCTTTTATTTTACATGTTTTAAAATTAGTGGTAATATGTACTCACTCTTTTGTGCTGTTACTCCATTAAAATTTCTCCCTAAGGGAAAGGCTTCTGTCAAATCTATTGATCTCAATAAAGCTTATTATTATTACTCAGCTTATAATACAGAAAACCTACTCTATTTGGTATATTTAAAATATAAAATAAAATCAATTTTTTGTATTTTAACATCTTGGAAATTAAATACAAACATTTTTTAGTATTTTGTATTTTAAAAAGAAAATATAGTTACAAATAATCTATTTTCTATTTTACTTCATAAAACAGAAAATAAAAAAATGTATTTTATTTTTCATTATAAAATATTTCATTTGAAATATTGTCCAACACTACAACTCGTGCATAGGAGCTCAATCTAGTTCACACCAGTTAGTTGGTGCAAACTGGCCTAAAGATGGCCCTCTTGTTTGTACTATAATAGCTTTATAAAAAATTATTTATTTTTTGTTATTACATAGACCATACAACTTTTAGTTGGAATCAATGACAACCTGAGCTATGAGCTGTTTTTGAGCTGTATACTGTTACTAGTTAATTTATTGTTGAAAATAAATTAATTTACTGTCACAATCATCGCAGAAATGAAGGTTTATTACTTTAATATTGACCGATGACTGCTCTCTGATAATATAAAAATTTGTTGGAGTATTTTAAAGCGCCTGCATGTCCAATTAGCTTTAAGGATTATCCTGTTTATAAAAATATATCCCATGCCTATTGCACAGGTACCATTATGTGAGATACTGCTTCAAATATGGTGTGTATATGAATTCCACATACACCTGCATAAACACCTGTATTACTTTACTTTTTTTTTCTTTACTTCTTATTAACTTATTAGATTGATATGAACGTTTAACATTCCTACTGATATTTTTAGGTTATTAGCCACAGAGTCCTTCCATCTTGTCTTTAGTCTCCGGCGAACTATGACTCAATCTTCTTGTTGTATGGCGATAAGTCCCGTATGGGAACAGAACCATTTACCATCTATTTTTCTAATCTAACTCCATTTGGGATTTCATATAAAGTCATTTGGCTGCTAAACCTACATAAATTGCCATTTGACAATTCTAATCTCACACTAATACCTTAGACAAATGAAGCACCTTCAAATATCAATATCAAATATCAGTTATCAATGAATACCAGGACAAACCAACTTACTAATATAAACAATGGTCACTACCTTTATATCTCGGAACACATGAAGGAGATTAAAAAGGTCGTGGATGATCGATCTACTTTCGTAATCTCTTCAATGGCAGCAAACGTTACAGCTAGCTATTGTTTTCCTGGAGTCTAGTACAACGTTTTATTTATTTATTTATTTTTTTCAAGTTGATAATTGTGACAGGAAATCCGTCACAAAGATTATAATTTTTTTTGTTCTGCTGGTGAGGATAAATAAATTAACAAATAATGACGTGCTGAAGACAAGACGATTGGGAGAGGAGGCCTAAATTGCCTCTTCTATAAACCATTTAACTGAATATCTGTAAAATAAAGGGCTACTAAATTGTGAATATTTGGTGAAGGGCTGCAGAGAAAAGGGGATTGAGGAAGCTTCGCAAGCCCTTTGAACGTGTTTGACGGCTGATTTATAGTCAAATAAAACTTCAACTTATTTTTCTGAAATTGGATTTATTTTTTAAACATGAACATAATTAAGGTATCTCCAGAAAAGATACTGCTATCAAAATTCATTAAACGCATTGCGACAGGTCTAGCGCAGTTATATTGTAACTTTGAATTTGAAATTAACAACTCAAAATAAATAATTTAATAAAAAGTGGTAATTATCTAGATTAGGACCGCACGGATTAAGCGTGGTTCAAAATCACTTCGGTCACTCTTGTTCATGGAGTGCCGAATGCATCCGGGTTTATCCGAAAGACTGTTTTAGGCGTTTCATGAATAAGTGTGACCGAAGTGATGTGAACCACGCTTAACCACGTCTAGTCCTCATTTAAATAAATGCCTAAAAAATTAATACATTTGCACCACTAGTTTATTATACTTATAAATAATGAGTTTTTTTTTGTTGTTGTTTTTTTTTGTTGTACACACATTACTTTTTTCCGTTCCAGAGTGGCATTATTTTATCCGAAAGTAATGATGCATATTACATAATCAACCCTCTGCGGAAAAGATTGAACAAACGCTCAGTTAGTGACAAGATCCCTCACGTTGTAGTGAAGAAAAGATCGAGTCCAGTTCAAGAAAACTTCGAAACACTAAGAGATAAAAGAGCAGTCGGTACAGCAAGCCCTGTCCATGTCGAAACAGCAGTTTTCATAGACAGGGATCTATATACGCACATGAAAACAAACTTTCCTATTGATACTGAGAAAGAAGTCGTCAAGTTCGTATTGACAATGGTGAATGCTGTAAGTTATTTTAAATTTATTTTAGTTTTGTTTGAGACAGATTGTTATAATACTCAAAAAAAAGAAAATAATAATAAAATTTAGTTTTGTATGAATTGCAGCTATAAATTCTATAGGCATCAACTCATCTTATTCTGATTTCAATTCATTTATAAAATAAAATATGTCAATTATATAACTAAAATATGTTGTTTTTTTTAGGTCCAAATGCTCTACCACGACCCGTCTCTCGGACGTAGGGTCAATTTTGTCATCAAACGACTTGAAATACTCCACATTGAACCGACTGGCCTCGTCCGGTCCCATGACATCGATAGATTTCTCGGCAACTTCTGTGCTTGGCAAAAAGGTGAAAATCCAGAAGAAGACTCGAATCCGCTTCATTGGGACCATGCACTCATACTTACAGGGCTCGATCTGTACGTCCTTAGTAAAAACGGGAAAATTAGCAAGCAGGTTGTTGGTAAGTTTTTACTACTAAGAAAAAAAAAATAGAATAATATAATGTCGAAATTCGTGGATAATGATTTTAATCTTCTGATTTGGTAATAGGTGATAATATTGTTCATTACCGAACTTAGCTTTGAACTATTCTATTCCGTAGATTGCATGTATATGTACATGTATGGCAGGGGCTTCCAACCCAAAGCTCGCGGGCACCACTGTGCCTGCGTGACTTAACTCGTTCCCGTGAGCTAACTTGTGCCCGCCTATGTCTAATATAACCTTTATCGGCGATCACCTTAGTAACAGATAAACAAGTTTTCGATTCAAACGTTTCCAATTTGTTTCTCAAATACATGTATATTGAAAAATATAAAATTTATTATTAAGTATTAAGTATTAATTATTTTTAAAAAATAATTCACTTATGGAAATAATGTTATCACTATTGTTTTGATTAATTTCTTTCTTTGGTAGTAAAAAATTGATGGCATTGTTGATAATACAGCATTAAACTCATTTCTTAACTAGTTAGAATCCATATAGCATCTAATAAATTTTCAATTCTAAAATGTGTTAATCTAATATAAGAAAATTATATAAAATTAATAACATGCATTACAATGATAAAACGTCCGATACTATACGTACATATTTCTTTTTATTGATACCCTCTACATTTTATTTTCAAATATTACAAACAGTAACCGACGTGCAATTCACATTGAATAAAATCACGACGGGTACCCCTGCTTTATGGCATAATTTTCCAATCTGGGAGATACACCCTCTTCCATATCTAACTAGATGCTGAAAACTTAAAGGGGGGGGGGTGCGCTAGTGAGTTAAGAAGTATTCGAGAGGAATCCAGGTGAAATAGGAGTCAGTGGCTCTTTCTTGAAGAAATTGGATACTACAGAGAGATCTCGCACGTCCGGTCCTCTATTGGGTTTCATATTGTTGGATTACCGATATCACCGGATTAGTGGAAGCGTATAAAACAAAATAATAATAACTTGATAACATCGTATAATTATCTACGTAGGATATTTATAATATCTTACTTAAACTTACTGACATAAATTATGATAATTTTATATGTAATATAAAAGACAATAAAAATTGTTATAAGTTTAAGAAAATATTTTAAAAAATACATTTTTGTAAGAGAATGAAAGGTTAAACCACTTCATATACAAATTTGAAATGTTTGTACTGAAAGAAATTTATAACATTTTTGCGAAGTCTTAATTTACTGAAACCTATTCGAAAGTTATATATTTGTTATTTTATAAAACATTTTTGAGTTTCCATAAGAATTTATCTATTGATATTGATGTGTGACGGTTGTGCCTGTGTAATATGATTGAATGTTCTTTTGGAAAATAATTTGGTCATACCTCTTTTATATGTTCTATATTTTTCACAGTCAATAAATCGCTCTTTAGACAAATGAGCCAACCTGTTACCTTTCATCATATGTTTTGATATTTTAAACTTTAAAAAATTTATATTTTGTTAAACAACGTTATTCAAACTAAGGTTATATAATGAATACAATGAATGTATTGAAATATTTAATATATCAATTAAACTAATATGGTTTATGGTCTATCATTTTCAGGTTTGGCTCCAGTGGCTGGAATGTGCACTGCAACGAGTAGTTGTACTGTAAACGAAGGAAGACACTTTGAAAGTGTCTACGTAGTGGCACATGAAATAGGCCACAAGTCAGTCTTTAACGGTATTTTCTTTTCACACATAGATTAGTAAATGCTAATTATTTCGAATAGTTTTATTCTTATATATAATTGTCTTTCTGTTTTAATTATATTACTTAACAAAATAAAAATTAATTATTTTTTAAATGTATCTGAAACTGTACCAAAATGGATTACATTTATACAGAAAAAAAAAATATCCGATTTAGCCCAATCCAGATACCTATCCTTCCATAACAAACTTCAAAACCATCCAAATCCTCTCGTTTCAAACCTTGCTTCCTCTTCGATACCTGATAACCCTGTCTGATAGTCCAAGGCGTCTGAAAAGAAGATGGCCTCGTGATCTACTTATGTAAATATATTATTAAAGTGCTACCAATGGCCAGTTTCTCAAAAAGCGTTTTCATGTGATTGTATTATTATCTTATGTACATTTACTGGATGTATTTTTAATTTATACAGTTGTAAATCTCATGAATAAATCAAAATAAAAAAAATTGTAATATAATGGCGTGATTTAAAATGAAAATTCGGTTAGATGTAAGAGGTACGGGTTTTTATCGTTCTTTGTTAGTTATCTTACAGGATTAAGCGACAATATGTCAACTAGTCTATTTTACTTTAAAAAACAAAAAATGTAAATAATGATTGAACGTGAAAACTTTGTATACGCAATTTATAACAGACCTCGAAAATTAAATTCTCTGAAGCAAACAAAGGAATAATGGAATCAATACAGAAATACAGCATATTGCCTCGAATTATTGAACTTCCAATCTGGTTATTGTCATAATCATTAAATGATTATGTGTATGTGTGTGTGTGTGTGTGTGTGTGTGTGTGTGTGTGTGTGTGAGTGCGCGCGAGCGTGTGTATGTTCTCGCGAGAGTTTTTGTGTGTAGGTTAGTCAAATTAAAATTAAATAACATTTTTTAATCTTGTCTTACTTGATTGTACATAAAATTGTGATATTAGCTCAGTGGTTTGGTTTAAACAAACTAAAGCGGTTCGTTACTGAACGGCTGTATTTATGTTTTGAATTTGCTGACAGTTGTATTACTTTTTGTTATTGCCTATTTTAAAGAAGATATGATTGTCTCAGTCTTAAACCTCTTATTGTAATTTTGTAGTCTGGATTTATTATTCGATTATTAGGAGTGTTCGATAATTGAAGGTTGCTTTTTTAGTTAACTTACGTTTTCAAACATTATCTGTCTTTTGAAATTTTAATTTAAAGTTACCAATTACATTCCTAAATGAAGGATATTAATCAACTAAATGTCGACAAAAATACTTGGGAAGGATGGTTAAATTCTATTATAGTTTGGGCTGCTCAGGAGCCAATTGAATTTTTAACAACAATTTTGCTGATATTATCACCGCTATTTGTTATATCATTGCTGTTGTCTTGGCGCTTAGTCAAAATATTTGAAAATCAAAAGAAAGAAAATATAAAAAAATCAAAACGAGAAGCAAATTATTTAAAAATAAGAAAAAACAAATGAGGTAATTATGGTTTTATAATTGGTTGTTACTGTAGATTGACTATTTAAATTATAAATTTCCATGTTGTATGTTGAGTCTTTCACTTTTAAAATGTAGCCATTTTTAATGATAATGATTTTCAAAAAAATGTTTAACATTCATTGCATATTATATATACCCCTTAAAACAAATAAAAATTAAATAAATCTATATATATTTATGTATTTATTTGTTTTAAGGGAAGAACCCTATACAAATGGAGTCTATCACAAAATAACGAACATTATTATCCTTATGGAAATCCAAATTCATTCCTTTTTATACTACATTACAGATTTTACGACACTCTGAAGGATAAATTAAAAATTATATTCGGTAAAAATCAGACAATTAAAATAATTCCAATTATCAAATTAATATGAAATCTAATATTGTCAAAATAATACATACAATAACAAAAAAAAAAAAAAAATACATTTTTTAAAATATTAATATTAAACTATGTATTGAAAATAAATTAAAAGATTAACCCCACACCTAAGAGAACAACCAAGAAAAAAGACCCGGACAGATTACGTGCTGATGTGCAGTATGGAATGATTGCCATAATAAGCAGACGACAGTATTCCAGATTACTCTACCAATTCTCTATAATTTAATATATTTGAAATTAAAAAATATAATTTTCTCATATCTTCTACAGTGGTTGGCAGAGGTGCACAGTAGGGGGTTTCATGGCGCAAGCTGTGCCATCAAAATTTTTGAGGTGGCCATATTTGTTTGACAGGTTTATGAATTTTTGTGGGGGGCAAATTTCAATGTGGTTATGAATTTGCGGACTAAGGAACAAGGGGGGACCATAGAACAGACCGCAGTGTGTAATTGTATATGATCTACGATTTTTCTAATTCTACCTTAGCTTCTCCTGTTTTAAGAAAAGATGAACAATACAATATCTTGGTAGGTGGGTGACAAGTAGGTTCTTGCGCTATCGATCTTTGGGGGGGATGGGCACCCCTGGTGGTTTGCTTATATATTTCTATCCCATCAAGATTTCCCATACCCTGGTAAATTCTTAATCTTAAACTACTGTAAATTGGACATTTAAATAATGTATAATGAAGTGTTTAGTTTTCTCTAGTGTTGCACAGTTTGCACTCAAGTTGTGGAGTAATTTTCCCAATTTTATTATTAATAGATTTGAGTGCTACCATTGGGTAGTTACTCAGCAAGTGTTTTCATGTCACTATATCCATATGTTCAAATTCACTAGATGTATTTATTTAATACAGTTGTTAATATCATTAAGAAATTAAAAAAAAAAAAAGTATTAATAGAAATCTTTATCATATATTTTCCTGAGAGGCGGATCTGCATTAATAGTTTCTTATATTTGAAATTAGTTGGCATCAACAAATACTGCAGATGCAGTTTATATTTATTTAATATCCTGTTAATATTTGTTCTAATTATGGCTGAGTTGGTTTCATAAACTAGATTGCCTTCCCCAATAGTATCTAACAATACTTTTAGCTCAGAACATCAATTATATTTCGATAGAGCAGGATTAGCTAAGTAACATTTATTTCTTAGCTTTTTGAAAAATATTTTAGGATTTCTAAATTTCTCCATTTCCACAAGCTTAACCAACCAATTCAATGAACACTTCATAATATTGAAACCAATTTGAGTAGACCCGGTTTCTAAAAGTATTAAAAAGTCTGGGGTTGTTTTACGAAACGAATATATCTTTTTATAAAAATTTGTTTTGACCTTTTCTAAGAGTTCTGTGTATTGGATAGTTCATATCTGGGCCCAATATAGCAAAAGATGTATTAACAATGGCTTTTTTAAAACTTTTCTGTAGCCTTCCAGGAGTTTGTTTTTGCTTTACAACAAATGTTTATTACTCTACCTATTGTCGAGTTTGACTTTGAGATTGCTGTCTTAACTGCTTGCGAAAACAAACAAGACCTACAAAAGTGAACACCTAAATAATTGCATGCACAGACTGTATCAATCAGTTCTCCATCCAAATATATACTATTCTATTTCTTTAGGCTCCCCATAGCGAAATTCAGAATTTTCGTTTTATCGACGTTTGTAATTAGCTTATTGTCTCTGCAGTATTCATTTAGAGCATTAAATTTTGTTACAAGGTCGGTAAAAAAAATCATCAAAAATAGCCATGTCATCTGCAAACAAGACCAACAGTATGTAAAAACATCTGTCATTAGGTATACCTGACAGGTTACGCTTGTGAAAGTATTCCTCAATATCAAATAAGAAAAGATTAAACGGCATGGGAGCTCAGTGTCTCTCCTTGTAGCACACCTTCAGTGATCACCTTCACTTTTCGACAGTCCTACAGCGGTTCCTTTTATTTGTGTGTATGCATTATCATACTTGTTTCCCATAACTCGAATTATTTTCCCACTCAAAGCTAAAGAGAACAGTTCGTGCTATAGTAAGGAGTGATTTATGGAGTCAAAGGCCCAACGAAAGTCAACAAAAAGAACGAAAAGGCTAGACTTCTTTTTTAAAAATTGGTTTTGGATAACAGAATTTAAGACGAAAACATTATGCGAGCAACTTCTCCTATTTCTAAATCCTGATTGGCATTCAGGTATAATTCTGTTTTTTTCAGTCCATAATGTTATTCGTTCCAACTGGATTTCGGTAAAAATTTTCGAAGCCCAGTTTGCCATAGATATGTTCCGATAATTAAGTGGGTTTTCTCGGTCCCCTTTCTTAAATATCATTACGCTCAAAATTTCAGTCCATGATTTTGGCACCACCTCTTCCTTCAGAATTTTATTGAATAAATTCTGTACATACATAAACCAATTAGGGGGAATATTCTTGTATGTTTCTTATGGGACGCCATCAAGCCCTGGGCTTTTGCCATTTTTAACTTTGTTTAGAGCCCTACGTATTTCCCCAGAAGATATATCTCCATCTAATAATGGATATGTATATATGTATTAAAGTTGTTAAAATATATTATTTGAAAATCACTTCATATATTCAGCATACAATAATTGGTTCTTGGACTTTTTGATGATAATATTTTTTTTTTCTAAAGAGTAATCCTATATTTTTATTTCTTCAGTTTTTGGTTGATTTCAGTGTTACAATGGCTTTTAAAGCTGGTTACTGGTGTATTAAGGCAAATGATGCTCAAGTTTGAAAATTCTTGCTTCCCACATAGAAACATAAATCAGTGTGAAACATTGTCGATTCACAGTCTTATAGACTAAAACCGAAAAGGAGCAGTGTTATTACTCAGCTAATGCTCTTCAACCAAATAGAACTAAACAAAGAATCATGAACAAAAGTAAAGAATACTTTTATATGAATTACTAGTTTAGCTACAAGTTGTGGTGATATTATACCATAGTTGATCAGAAGTATTGTCATTAAATATTTGTATCTCTGTAAAAAAATAATAATATAACATTAAAGGTTGACTGCATTGCAAATGATTGTTGTACTTTACATTCTTATTTTTAATCAAATAA